ATATCTCTGTTCCCCGGACCTGGCAAACGTCGCAAACGATAATGCCCTTTGAATCGCGGCAGTGATCGAGCCGAGGAGTTGTGGGTGAAGGTGACGGGACGACAGACATGAACCCCTCCTGCCTTTTTGAGCATTGCCAAGGTTGACTTATGCAGCCAACATCACCAAGCTTGGGCCACCGGCAATAGTAGATTTGGAATCGTCGAGTGGGAACCTGAACATTCGTAACATTCTAGGTCGTCTACGGGTGTTCCAGAGGCGTAAGAAGCCACATCAAATCAGATCGTCGGCAACCATGGCAGAACCATCCACGACTTCGATAAATCTGCTAAGTATATCAGTCATCACGCTATGTGGATACATCGTAGCGCTGGCTGTCCATCGCCTGTATCTCAGCCCACTCGCCAAATTCCCTGGTCCGAAGCTCGCGGCTCTCACACTATGGTATGAGTTTTACCACGACGTCGTTCGCGGAGGCCAGTATGTCTTCAAAATCGACGAGATGCACAAGAAGTATGGTAAGTAAATGGCTGCAAATATATCCATAACCTACCTGCATATACTAATCGTTCAACAGGCCCAATCGTCCGGATCAACCCCTACGAGCTACACGTCAAAGATCCCGACTTTTACGAAGTGCTCTACAGCGGCCCAGGCCAAAAGCGCGACAAATGGGCCTGGGCAGTCGAGATGTTCGGGAACAGCGCATCTGGATTTGGCACCGTATCACATGATCTCCACCGCATGCGACGGAACGCACTTAATCCATTCTTCTCGAAACAGGCAATTGGGCGTATGGAGCCATTGATCCGCAGTTTGATTGAACAACTTTGTGCTCGCTTCGAACGATGCCGGGGAACTGGCGAGCCGGTCAACACGCTGCATGCTTATGCTGCTCTGACTACTGATATCATCACGTCGTACTGCTTCGGTACTTCGTATGGTTGTCTTGGTGATCCTAGTTGGAAGTGGGAGTGGCCTCAGGCCATGGTAGAGAGTACGCGGAGTTGTCATTTGAATAAGCAGTTCAAGTGGGTGTTTCCTGCGATGCAGGCGACGCCGGAGTGGATTGTGAAGAAGGTGAATCCGGCGGTTATGAATCTGATCAACTTCCAGAAGGTAAGTTAGCCTTGTGCTAATGCTGTGACAGAGCTAATCGGAACAGGACCTCTCCTCTCAAATCGAAGAGATCATGACCGATAGCTCTGGCACAAAAGAGAAGCAAAACATATTTCGTGAACTATATAATGGCGACCTCCCCACTGAGGAGAAATCGCTTCCTCGTCTCCGTGACGAGGGCCAGACCATGATTGCTGCAGGGCAAGAGACTTCGTCTTTCTTCTTGCAACAGGCTTCCTACTTCATCCTCGCTGACCCTGCCATCCACGCGCGGCTCAAAGCCGAGCTTAAGAACGCGATCCCTACTCCAGCAAAGATCCCACCATTAGCAAAACTCGAACAATTGCCCTATCTGCACGCTGTGGTGCAGGAAGTCCATCGCTTCTCGCATGGAGTGGTCGGTAGGCTCGAGCGCGTGTCACCAGATAAACCCATTCGATACAAAGACTGGACCATCCCGCCCGGCACACCCGTGGCCATGACGTCGCTGCTTCAACATCGGGATGAGACGAAGTTTCCTGATGCGATGATTTTTGATCCAGAGAGGTGGTTGAACGATGGAAAACAACTGGAAAAGTATCTGGTACCATTCAGCAAAGGCACCAGGCAGTGCTTGGGGATCAATTTGGCGACAGCTGAGATCTACTTAACGCTGGCGATGGTGTTTCGAAGATTTGATATGGAGTTATATGAGACGACAGGCCGAGATGCGGAAGTCGTCGCTGACTTTTTCATTCCGTTTGGTCATGAGGATTCGAAAGGTGTCAGGATCGTGTTTAAGTAGAGGCAACATGGTTCTTTGTCAGTTGGAATTGGTGGCATGAGTGATCAATCAACAAAAACACCTGGGTGGTATGGTTTCTAGGTGCCAACACACAACCTAGCTTGGCCGCTCTCGAGTTTCCATGGAGTCATGTGCTTGTGCCAGCTTTTTTTGTCTAATATATGGATGACTAGCTGTGAGTCGTTTTGAACGCAGGCAGTGGGGTAGTCTTATCAGGCCAAGATAAGATCAAGTTTTATACTCATTGATGAAATAGAGAACAGCAAATAAGACAAAACGATCAATACGGGTCTAACCTCATTCGTGCTATGAGCACCGTGAACTACTCTGATTGGTCAACATCTGGGACTTCCTCAATCTGGGTTTTGGCCCCCACCCCCGCTACAATCCTCCTGTTCATGTCAGACAATCTCCCACCCAATTCTTACTACTGACATCTGTTTCAATCTTCTCTACGCATATTTTCAACATTACAGTCGAGGGTTTTGCAATGAACAAGTCTAACCTACTCAGTGACTCCGTTCGAGTGCCCTCTCCAGGAGGGTCGGATGGAGCATCCCGGCGCCGCACGAGGCTGAAAGGCATTTTCGGAAACATTTGGGGTAGCTCGTCGTCTGAGCCAATGGACCAGAGAAGTGCTGCAGCAAGAGAGGCGGCGAGGGATGCTTCAAGCGAGCTTGATGCTGGCTTTACGTTTGTCAGCACTCAATTCGACGTCGTTCAAGCCAGTGTTGCCGATTTTTCGTCATCTGAGCCAGAAGAAGAACTGTGTGATCTGTCAAGACAGCCCAGCTTGCATCTAACGCACCCAATACCCGCGATCCCGCCGCCTGCAGATACATACCTAGCCGAGAAATTCCAACACACGCCATTAGAGAACAAGGCGCCTACGGTTCGGCTGATCCAGATTCTTCCCGACCTTGCACCATCAGGACACGTTCAGTGTATCATCCATCATACCTTGATCAATGACCGCCCATACGATTGCCTCTCCTACGAATGGGGTGCCGAACAGAGCGGAGGACACATTTTTCTCAATGGCAGGCTGATGGCCGTCCGCGAGAACCTCCTGGCTTTTCTCTCGGAGGCTGCGCAATCGTATCACTCGATAAATTTATGGATCGATGCTCTTTGTATAAACCAGGAAGATGAAGTCGAGAGAAGTTACCAAGTGCGTCAAATGGGTGTAATTTACACAAATGCTCGCCAGGTTTTGGTTTGGCTAGGAAGCGATGCCAGAACATCCAGCATCTTGTCTGCGCTCTCGAAGCCAAGCGCTGAGCGGGAAGAGTCGGGTCGTTTACAAGAGCACGAGGACATGATATACTTGGGCCAAAACAGCTACTGGAGTCGAGCTTGGATCACGCAAGAAGTCTCGCTGGCCAAAAGCTTGCTACTAATGGCCAAAGGCGCAGCTGTCGATGAACTCAAACTGCCATACAGTGCCAGGTTTCGCATGACTCATTTTGGTGGAACGCGACAAAAGGACCCCCAGGAGGAAAACCTATTGGCCCTTCTTCACAAATTCCGATCGCAAAAGTGTCATGTCAAGCGCGACACTGTGTACTCGTTACTCGCTCTGTGCCGGGATGGTCCTAATGTCAAAGTCGATTACACCACGTCGGATTCGGGCGTCATGCAATCCATACTGGACGCATGCAAAGAGCATTTGTGCTTTTGTTCAGCCTCCATCATTGCCAGTGCTTTGGACCTCAACGTCATCATCGACAGCCCGGCTACGGGTATCATCGTCCATAACGCGAAATACTTCCAACACCATGAGAGCACGGGATTCACTAAGTGCTCCGATTGCGGCTCAACCATGCCTCATGACTTTTTACCGTCGGGATTTTCAGTATGCCTGCGCAATTTATGCCCTGGCATGCTCTTTCACATTTTCTGGTACGATATCGACGGATCGAAGGCACGTCTGTGCGTCGTAGATGGATTCAATCGCACGAAATACATGTCGACGACAGCACGTGTGGCGGGATTTCCAAATGGGATATCGTCTTTGGACGTGGTAAAGACGTGTAACTTGCGGCTACCGATGACTTTCCTGGTCGATCTTGGACGAGGGACGTGGAATGAATCGTACCCGTCAGAGCTTGACAAACACCTTGAAATAGAGAAGGGATTCATGAGCCTCTGTCATTCGTCTCGGAATTTGCCTCCAGGCCCAGTCGTTTGGGTTGAAGATCGTCCATCACCAGAAACCAATTGATATTAGGTATAAGAGGCTCTTACCACGTTTTTACCCGCTCAAGTGGAGAGGGTAACGCAAAAGGGTAGAAAAGCTGATAAAAAATGAACGATCTCTGTAATATCTATCATTCATACTTAGTAGAAAGACTCGTGTCAGTATTTTGCCACTGGTTACGATGGGAGAGCTCAGCGTTGCCTCTGCTAGCAGCATCGGTAGGTCGCTGTCGAGCGAGCTGCCTTCAGGATCAAGCGGTAGCGTCAAGGACACAAGCACGCTGGCAGCGGACATGAACAGGCAGGGACAGAATGGTGGTTTGTCTGCAGGAGCATATGCTGGGTATGGCTTGCGGTGGCTGCGGTGTTAGTCATGACAGCATGCGCAATCTTGTGGACTATACGACGACGAAAACAAAGATATCCATATGGAATAGACAGATTCTGGCAATTCAAGACACAGTGGTAGCAATGTTCCTGAAATGGCTGTCCCATCACAGGTCTTCGAATCGGGACAACGAGATCCGGGAGGGTTGTGGGCTGATACGGTGGTTCCGGCTGAGTTGGGTTCGAAACCTAGAGTACATTAATTAGAGTAGCTATTATCGAGCTGAGTAATGGATGCGAAGAGATTAATAACATTCGTGTCCCTGATGCTGCATTTGCTACGTGTGTTCATTGTCTTCGATACGCAGATCTCAAACGTTGAAAGTTCCGCGCCACTAATGTAGCGCCCTACCGATGGCTCGCCCCTGGCTGGCCCCTCATTTGCCCCGCTCGGGCCCCACCCCACCGATGTTCCCGTCATCACTTTCACTGAGAGATAACATTTATAAGTATATAAATGTTATAACAACGTTTTCGTCCATCCACTACTTCATATCGAAGTACAGACCAAGCCAGCTTGGCGCAGTGGTAACGCGTAGCACTTGTATCTCACGACATGCTAAGATCACTCGTTCGATTCGGGTAGTTGGCAAACCTCACTTTTCTTTTTTGCATTTTTACACAACTTCCACAGCAAATGTCACAGTACGAGTCAAGTAGAGTTTGCGAAGCTTTATTTTTCGAAGGTATATTTAGCGATAAACAGGTGGCATAAGAGAAGGTCTCTCATCGCAAGCTTTGCTTCGCTTTACATCGCGAAGACACAATGAGTTGGTTGCGAGCGAATGCGTCGTCAGCCTCGCAGCAATCGCAACATAGTCAGTACAGATATCTTGGTCCCATCACCATTCAAACCGCAGCCACGACAAGAAAAGTCGATACAGCAACATGGTACCATGATTACGCTCGTCTACGCTTAAGTCCACACACATTTTTCATTCCTGCAATGCTACATTACTACCTGTTACTCACTATTGACATATCTTCCCTCCCGACTCTTCTCATTCCTACTCCACCAACTTCAACTCCCCCGTCTCTGTAATGAGCGCGTACCCTAATACATCCATGCCCTCCAACAACTTCTCACCTTTCAAAACCTTGACATCCTTCCGAATCGTCTCCTCAAACTCCTCCGCGGTGAAGAATCCCAACTCCATATCCTCCACGCGCCCAGCCTCTGCGGGAGTCCTGCGCTTGACATCCGCCAGGACGTCCGGGTCGGTTAGGTGGGTCATGCCGCAATCTAAACATATCACGTATTATCAGCATCAGTATCGTGTATAGGGGCATGTATCTACAGAAGCCAAATGAACGCGGCAAAGTAGGTTAGTCTGTACGTACCAGTATGATGCACAACAGCCACCGTACCCTGCTCACTAACCGTATTCAAACTCCTCAACACGGCAATCGTGCGAATCACGTCCTCAGTCACACGGCCCCCGGCGTTGCGCATGGTGGCGAAGAGGAGGTCGCCGCCGAGGAATTGGGAGGGGTCGCAACGGGGGTCCATGCAAGTCACTACACGGTAAGCAAATGGTCTGTTTGCGGAAGTAGTGAAGGGCGGGTGATGGCGTGGGGAAGGAGTTGTGGCTGAAGGAGGATATGTGCGAGGAGAGGGGAAGGGAATGGAAAGTGGGATACGGATGCAGGATATGTGAGGAGGAGTTCATACAAACAAGCAACGGATTCTCGGGCCCCATCCCAACCTTCCTGATCTGCTCCATAGTCGGGGGCGTCTTCCAACTTGGTCGCCATTTCTCGTTTCCAGCAAGGAATTTCTCTGTCGTTGTATTTGTAGGCATTATAGCTTCGTTACTACGGTTGTTGGTACTTCGGTATCGCTGCTATCATTCAAGTCAGGAATAGATGTTGTTGCTGTTGTTGCTATCGTCTGAAGGCTTTGTCGATATCCATCTTTCTTCGCTCGCCTGTCCCCTTCCTTATATACAACTCTCCTTCTTCCCTCTTCCACCATCACCATTAAGCTTCCACGTACATCTCCCATCCACCCATCACTCCAACCCTGCCATACCAAGCTGACATATCCCTCTCTCGCACACCTCCCTACGTACGAAACACGTCCATTTGGAATTGAACCCCGTCAAAAGAGATGTCGTGTTACCGTTCTTCCTGCTTGTCAGACGCATGTGAATTGGTTGGTAAGGTAGACCGGTAGTTAAAACAACACAGTACTATTGGGCACCAAGCCTCGTCCGTCTGTAACGGGAGTGTAATAGCACCAAGTGTGACATCTTCGCTTCTGTGCTAGACGTACTTCCCCGCGGAAAGATTACTTATCTCGGAGCGGATGTCCCACAACGGGCCGTCCCAGCACTGTTCCAGAGGCTACGCTCCTATAGTGGACATGTGGTTGCGGTTTGGTAATAGGGCCGAGGGTGGATGTGTGTCGGTTACTCATCACTTGTTCACTCATCATTCCTCCCTGCTCGACCTCCTATTTCGCTGACTCACTTAACCGGCGATGTCATAGTTGGGTAGTGAAATATATGTTCAGTAATCAGATCTTTCATCGGCATCTGGTCACGTGATCGATCTTTTTCATTCGTTCTACCGCACATGTGTAGTCATAGCACTGCGCTAAGGGTATCTATCCTACGGCTGTTGAATGGCCATACCCATACCCCATTTTTCTTCCGACGCCAAAACACCTGTCCATGCCTCTGCTCAACCACGCTCCATGCGCGATGGTCGATTCACAGCTCGACGCGGCGGGTCGTACTGGCTCTCGTAGATTGTTGAAAACACGAGCATTCACGCTCACAAAGATAGTGGGCGCTTAGCTGGCAGTGTAAGTCTGCTTTGGCTGGGGGTATGAAGGGCCGAGCTCCTGGATGCTCAACTTGGCGAGCCACTGGCCCATGTCGATGGCAGTCTCGAGCGACTTGCCCTGCACAATACCGGCGACGAAGCCTCCTGCGAAAGCGTCACCGGCGCCGTTGGTGTCGTTGATCTTGTCCTCGCTGATGGCGTGGACCTTGACCGACTTGACGTCTCCATCAGCGCTGACGGCGATGGTGGGGTCGGTGCCCTGGGTGAAGACGACGGTCCTGGAGCGCTTGGTGTTCTTCTTGGGGCCCTTTGCGATGGCCTCGGCGATCTTGGTGACGTCCTTGGTCTCGATGCCGTGCGACTCGGCGAATGCGGCGGCCTCGGTCTCGTTGCCGATGAGGATGTCGACGTAGGGCAGGATCTCGTCGAGAGGGTCCTTGAAGAATTGGGAGATGAATGGCGCGGAAAGGTTGAGGATGAAGGTCTGCAGGGTCAGCTTCGGTACATTTGATATGACTAGCGTGGCGTCGAGCTCACCTTGTTCTTTGCGGCCGCCTCCTCAGCGAGAGCCTTGATGGCGGGCACGCAGACAGTCAAGTGGAAGCCACCGACGTAGAAGACCTGGGCGTTCTCGACCTGCTTCCAGATGCGGTCCTGCTTCAAGTGGTCGACCTTGTAGTTGTTGGCAGCAGCGAGGTCGGTGCAGAGCGAGCGGTTGTGGCCAGTGATGACGACACCGCAGCGGCCGGTGGGCGTCTTCTCGTCGTACAAGTACTCGGTCTTGACGCCGGCGTCGCTCGAGATCTTCTCCAGCGTCTCGCCGTACTTGTCCTTGCCGATGCAGCCAATGTAGACGGTCGAGTTGGGCTGGAGGATGTACTGTGCACCGCGCGCCGTGTTCTGTGCTGCGCCTCCAGCAATGAGGACGGCCTTGTAGTTCTGGATCAGGTCCTCGTAGAGGCCCATGTGCTTCTCAGGGTCGGCCAGAATGGCATCGTTTGCCTTGAGGCCATACTTGTCAAGCAACGCCTGGTCGCTGGGATTTGCCGTTAGCAGGAGCTCGACATTTTGTCAATTTGATTTGGTATGCGCGTACCCAACACCCTGGATGTCGAGGAGAGGGTTCTCCAGGCACAGAAGTTCGTAGTTGCCAGCCATTGTGATTGTTGATGTGTGTTTGTGGAAGTGCGGTCAAAAGTGAAGAACGGGGTTGTTCTGGCGCAGAAGACGTGGACGTGGGGCAGAAATGTTGCTCGAGGGAGGGGCGGTCCACTAGCTTCGGGGAGTAATCTTCGGCAGTCCAAGAAACCCCCGACTCCACCATCCCATCGCGACAATATCAGCCGGTTTCTCGTCAAACAGGATGGTTCCGACACGAAGGAGCTGGGTCTTGGTGATGCACCGCACATACCATCCCGAAATCTCACGTCTTTTCTAGAAGGACTACAACCCACTATAACTGCCTAGGACTCTGACGAACCTAGTTTGAGGTACAACAGAGCTCAGTATCAAGTCTCGTACTCTTCTAGATTGGCTTATATTCCTTCTCGGTCAGTTGCGAGATTGGAGACGGCTTGTGCGGTGCAACACTAAACGGGCCTCTCACCTTTCTTAGCCCAAGTAAGGCAAGGTCACCTAATACCGTCAGCTTTCATCAGTTGCATTTAGTGAATCAGAATCAGAATCAGGCACTCGTATCTCACAAAGCAGGATCAAAGAGTATCAGCACAGTCAAGGACACAACTCCAATTGTAATTCACTACTATAAACCAAACGAGCAGCCCTAGGCATGGACATGAACGGCTATATGGTCAGAGGATGCAGCTTCGATCCGCAATCCCCAACTCGCCCATGCCAAAACCGAAGCAAAATGCAGCATAACAAGATCTCATCATCGTACAATTTATGTCGCTGAGCTCTACAGCGGGCCAATGGCCGCGGATGTGAGCCAGGAAACGATCGAAGCGGTGCCCTGTAGCAAGTCTATCGAGCCTACTGTAGCAGAGCAAAGCTCCTCGGCCCCTTTCATCGTGAGCCAGGTCCCACGAGGACGGGGACTCGTGCCTGATTCGAGCAGTGCGTATCACCGAAGCGTTCCACGACGATGTGGCTGGTCAAGCACCGTGAGAACGAGCGATAGTGTAGACAGCGCTAATTGCAGCTTTTCACAGCTGCGCTCTGTTTGATCAACCGCCCTGGCCATTGGGTGGTGTACGTCCCCAAGAACTGTTCGCCTTGTCGTGATACGAGCTGAACAGCAAGGGGCTTGCCATATGAACCTCGTTCGAGACTCCATTCTGGTTGCCGTTATACGTGTTTCCGTAGCTGTTACCATAGACTGAGCCCCAGTTGGAGGGGCTTGCAGCACCTGGATTTCCCCAGGCTGCACCACTCCCGAGCCCACCACTAATGGGCCGTGGGGCACGGGTGGCGGAAGGTGTCATGTCAGCACCCAGCATAGAATTTGATGAGCTCTGGCGGACGTGGCCGAAACCATTGCTGGCTATGGGCGACCTGCTGTACTCCACCCCAAGGCCAGCAGCATTTCCCATGGCAGGAGAGGACGGCCCTGGCGTCCCAGTGTAGCTACGGTTCCAAATCGATGTGTTATTCCATTGGCCATCCGGCACCGATGGAAGATTTGCTGCCTGGCGCATTGACGATGTCGATGTGGTCCTCCCCATTGGGGTCGCGAGCAAGGCAGTGGGAGCCGCAGGGGACAATGGCTTATAGTTCTTGACCGAGTTAACCAAGTCGCTGATGGACAGCGAGGCAGGTGCATAGGTACCGTCGTTCACCATG